GCGTCTCCTTGCTACTGTTGTCACTGACCCTACCTTTGAGTCCTCGGCTGCGTCTGCTCTGGTCGCTGAGTTGGTTGACTTTGCTGCTGCCTGTCGTCTAGACTACGCTGCTAGCCTTGTTGTTGAGTCTGAGTCTGAGTCTGTCTGTCCTCCGTCCGTCGGGGGTGAGTGTGCTCTTGGCACGGACGTCCTTGAGGACAGACAGGAGGAGTTCCAGTGTCTTGCTGCTGCTTTGCCCCGTCTCGTGTCCTTGCTAGTTGCCCCTGAGGGAGACCCGGATGCACCAGACATCCCGACCCCGCGCACTTACGCTGAGGCGATGGCGGGTCCCTACTCCTCTCAGTGGCAGACAGCCATGGACGCCAAGATGGCTTCCTGGAAGTCCACACGCACCTACGTCGACGAGGTTTCCCCACCTGGGGCGAACATCGTCAGTGGCATGTGGATTTTCAGGGTGAAGCGGCCGCCGGGTTCTCCGCCTGTCTTCAAGGCGCGTTACGTGGCTCGAGGCTTCAGTCAGCGAGAGGGAGTTGACTTCTTCCAGACCTTCTCCCCCACCCCGAAGATGACTACTCTTCGGGTGCTGCTGCACATAGCCGCTCACCGCGACTACGAGCTTCACTCACTTGACTTCAGCACTGCTTTCTTGCAGGGCAGCCTGCACGAGGAGATCTGGCTGCGCCGCCCACCTGGCTTCACTGGGTCGTTTCCTCCTGGTACCCAGTGGAGGCTTCAGCGGCCGGTCTACGGTCTCCGCCAGGCTCCGCGTGAGTGGCACGACACACTGAGGACTACACTTGCGGCTCTTGGGTTCGCGCCTTCTACAGCTGACCCGTCGCTGTTCCTGCGCACCGACACTTCACTGCCGCCTTTCTACATCCTCGTGTACGTCGACGACTTGGTCTTTGCCACTGCTGACACTGCAGGACTCGCCTACGTGAAGTCGGAGCTGCAGAGGAGACACACGTGCACAGACCTGGGTGAGCTGACAAGCTATCTTGGCTTGCGGATCACCCGGGACAGAGCACGGCGCACCATCACCCTGACTCAGTCACACATGGTGCAGCAGGTTCTCCAGCGCTTCCGCTTCACGTACTCCTCGCCTCAGTCTACTCCTCTGCCTACCGGTCACTCGCTCTCAGCTCTGCCTTCGGATGAGTCCGTAGAGCCGAGTGGCCCGTATCCAGAGCTTGTGGGCTGCCTCATGTACCTGATGACCTGCACTCGACCTGACCTTGCATACCCTCTTAGTATCCTTGCACGCTATGTCGCTCCTGGCCGTCACAGGAAGGAGCACATGGATGCTGCTAAGAGGGTGTTGCGCTACTTGTGCAGTACGTCGGGCATGGGGCTTGTGCTTGGAGGGCGAGACCGAGTTGTTCTCACAGGGCACTCAGACGCTTCTTGGGCGGACGACCAGGCCACTCAGCGGTCGTCTCAGGGTTACACCTTCAGCCTTGGCTCTGGCTCAGTTTCTTGGCGCTCTACACGCTCTTCTTCTGTTCTCGGCTCCAGTTGCGAGGCTGAGATCTACGCTACAGCCATGGCTGCCCAGGAGCTACGCTGGCTGACCTACCTGCTGACCGACCTCGGAGAGCCGCCTCGTTCTCCTCCAGTACTGTACGTCGACAACAAGGCTGCCATTGCCTTGTGTGAGGAGCACAGACTGGAGCACAGAACGAAGCACATCGCCCTGCGGTACTTCCTTGCTCGTGAGCTGCAGCAGCGCGGTCAGCTTTGTATTCGCTACGTGGCCACTGAGGCCAACACTGCTGATGTGTTCACCAAGGCGCTTCAGCCTCGTGACCATCAGCGCTTCTGCACTCTACTAGGCCTTGTGCCTACTGGACCTCACTTGCTTACCTCTTGACTTTGCTTGTACTGTGATCTGTATATATATACCTGCATGTTTACTCTTGCTAGGTTGTGATCACTGTATCTCTTGCTCTGTTATAAACCTGCATGTGAACTGGTCTTGTGACCACTAGCTTGTGCTCGGAATTTGTGTGGAATCCTCGAGATCCACCCTGAGCTTGCTTTGCCTTGCTTTGCCCTGACTGGTCGTGTGACCCCCAGGTCTCCCCACTTCGCCTATGGGGGTGTGTCAAACATTATATGTTTATATGGTTGTAGGCTGTAGTGGGTTACGCCTTAGGGGGTACACTGGATTAGGGTTTCCTATTTGTATCCAGCCTTCTGTTAGTACAGCCATTCCTGCCTGTTCATTCTGTCAAAAGTGGGGTGTAATCAGCACAACAAGCAGACATAGCAGTAGTTCACAATTTATGAGCAAAGCTAGAGGCAATCACAGAGGGCAAGTGAGGAGGAGGAGGCGAGACTGTAAGAGGAGAGGAGATAAGAGGCGACGGCTGAAGCTGCAGACACACGGGCGACAGGAGTCACACTGGCACAGCGGCTACCGGAACATCGGCACGGACTTCTGGAGTAACTGGCTCCGCGGCTAAGACGAGCGGCAGGAGCAACGGACCCACGGGCGACTGGCACAGCTGGCTACGACTGGGCTACCAGGACAGCGCCCCGGACTACAGGTGCTGCTGACGACAAGACGGCAGCCTCCACTCAACCTCCCCCAATAGTCCCACCCCCTCTCCTTGACACACACCCCCTGCTGAACCCCTAGCTCCACTCCCACGGCACCCCCCTTAAACCCTAACCCTCGGCTCCCACACATCCACCCCCCTCAGCGGCAGCTGCAGCAGTGGGAGACGGAGGAGGAGGAGGAGCAGGGGACGGCTCACACACACGGCACCCCCATACCCTCCACCCCCAAACCCTAACACAGGAACGCGGGCAGTAGCGGGGGTGGGGCGCCGACAGAAGCTTGGGGGACGGACGAGGCGCGCGCACGGGTCTGCCGCAGGCGGGACGAGGCGCGCGCGGGCTGCCCGGGCCGCGCGCGGGCCTGGCGCAGCCCGTACGGGCCGCGCGCGGGCCTGGCGCAGGCCGTACGGGCCGCGCGCGGGCTGTACGGGCCGCGCGCGGGCCTGGCGCAGCCCGTACGGGCCGCGCGCGGGTCCCAGGGGCGCTTCGACGGGCGACGGGGACGTTTCGACGGGCGACGGGGGGCGCTCCGACGGGCGACGGGGGCGCTTCGACGGGCGACGGGGGGCGCTTCGACGGGCGACGGGGGGCACTTCGACGGTGGGAAACCGCCGCGCGCCTCGGGGCGCACGGCAGGCAGAAAACCGCCGCGCGCCCCGAGCGCACGGCGAGATGAAAACCTTCAAAAAATTTCGCCGACAAGTAGAACAGCAGCGGAAGCATTAGGTGGTGGGCCCACCCACAGGATCGACCCAAGGGGGTCGACCTGCTCTGATAGCATGTCAGAAGTAGTAGGCAAAGTTTAGAAACAGAAAGAGGGGTTTCACTAGCAGCAGTTGAGATACAAATAGCAAACCCTAACTGGGTTGTACTCGCTATAGAGCACCCCACTGCAGGCTAGAGAATATAACATTCTGACATCAAGGGCCGATGACCAATGACGCTCGCAACCCTTCCACGCCCTTGCTGGCTTGGCAAGAGGCCTAGACAAGCATAGCTACATGACTTTGTGGAAGAAAAACGCTTACTGCGAGCGCTTCTAGCCTCAAAACGCACTAGGATCCGCACATGTGCAGAAAGTGCAGCGGGCGCTCTTCATTCTCAAGGGCCGATGACCAATGATGCTCGCAACCATTCCACGCCCTTGCTGGCTTGGCAATAGGCCCAGACAAGCGCATCCACGCGACTCGGTGGAAGAAAAACGCTCAGAACGAGCGCTTCTAGCCTCAAAACGCGCTAGGATCCGCACATGTGCAGGAAGTGCAGCGGGCATCACAGGCCTACATTACAGCGACCGACCTAAGCGCAGGCCTCATTCCATCCCGCGTTGCAGTAAGTGATTCGCACTGCGAGTGTACGGCCCTGCGGGTAACAATACTCGAGTATCAAACAACTACTTGGCATGCTGAATCAGCAGAAGCAGTAAGAAATTACGAGGAGCGCCTAATCCATTGAATGTGCTATCACGTGTTCGTCGGAACGCTACTCCGTTCTACGTATATTCGCTTATGCTCGCCGCAGAAAACTGACTGAATCAGAAACGCCTGCTGACTGAAGTGTGTTGATAAGGCTAGGAGCAGTGGTAGAGCAAGGAGCGGAGAAAGCGAGCAACAGCGCTCCTCAGAGCGGGTGACACCTGCGTACGGAACGGACAGACAGAACTGATGAGAAGGCACGGCGAGTGAGTGAGAGATCAGTCCAGTAGAGCAGCAGAGGGAAAGCACAGTAGCTGCTGCAGCACCCATGTGGGAATGGGGAAGGACTCTGATTGAGCGGGACTGCACAGGACAAACGAGGTTGGTTGGTGGCGTCTGTTGGCGGGTACTGCACTTTATCTTCCTTACCAGAAATTGATAATCAAAATCCTTTATTGATGTTGAAATTCAACCAGACCTTCATGGGACTCGTTGGATTCAGTAGCCCTTTGGCATCGACATTCCAATAGATTTACTTGGAATCGTTCTCACCTTTGCTGTATTAGCTGTTTTTTTAGAATAGTAGTCCAAACGATCTTTGCATCTCTTTTTGTTTTATATCAAAAATATATTCCATAGAAGGGATAAAGAATGGGTTATTGTTTCACCCTAAGTCTCCGCATCCCCTCATCCCCATGACTCTTGACACTTCTTTGGTTTATACTTAGCAGTAGTTACCGGACAAGCAGAGATAGCGGAGACCCTTACAAGTAGTCAGGTCTGGAATAATTCTCGAAGGGTGAATGGTTCACATGACATGAACATCACTCGCTCGTTGATAACAGATCGTTGACCATAGTCGACAGACCCTATATATGTCTATACATACGTATATAATCCTGTCGGATGCTGGTGACTGATCGGCATTCTGGACCCGCGCTTGTCTTGCTGCGAGTGAACCGAACTTTGCAGCCGAACCCGTTTTCGGTTTGAAACTTGCGGTCCAGTGCGGTGGTGATCGCGATGCTGGTGGATCTGAACGCGTTCGCGGACGAGCACTTCGACCCCAAGGCGTGGGTCAACGATGCGTGCGCCGCGCTTCCGCCGGAGGAACCTCCGGAGAAGTTCCTCGCGGACATCGAAATGAAGCTGCAGCTCTTATCGGGTACGGTTGTCCTCGCTATGGTCTTGAATTCGGTCAGCGACACAGGAATCCGTCATCAGAAAAGGAATACGCGAGCGGCACAGAATCCGTCAACGACTGTATGCATGTGTGCGTGTGTTCTGCGTGTGTGCTGCGTGTGTGCTGCGTGTGTGCTGCGCGTGTGCTGCGTGTGTTACGTGTGTGCGACACGCGCGCAGAGGACATGGGCGGCGCGCTGGAGGAGCAGAGCGCGGGCGCGCTGCTGAGGGTGCCGCGCGCCGTGCGGGAGACGAAGCGCGTGCGCGACGACGCCGTGTCGCTCAAAGGCACGGTCGCCAGCATCCTGCAGCGGCTGCAGCAGGTGGGGGGAAGAGATGGGAGGGAGGGGGGTAGTGGATAGGCAGATTCAGGGGGAGTTGGGGGGGAAGGGGAAGGAGGTGGTTGGGAGAGGGGGGTTGGGGGGGAATCGGACTGAGGGAATTTGCAGAGCTGGGTGGGGAATCACACCTGAGTATACATGCAGGTGAATATATATAAACGTGTGTCCATGTGTGTACGTGTCTTCCCTTGTGCTGAGCTGGATCAGGTGGAGGCCACGTCAGCAGCATCAGTGGCGGTGCTGGCAAAGGTGGATGCAGTGAAGCAGCAGATGGAAGCAGCGAGAGACACGCTCCAGGTGAGTCTGATTTTGAGCCGACTCAGAAACGAGAGACACGCTGCAGGTGAGCAGCAGACGTAGAATCACACCCAAGAGATGCTTCCTCACGAGGTGCTTCCTCACGAGGTGCTTCCTCACGAGGTGCTTCCTCACGAGGTGCTTCCTCACGAGGTGCTTCCTCACGAGGTGCTTCCTCACGAGGTGCTTCCTCACGAGGTGCTTCCTCACGAGGTGCTTCCTCACGAGGTGCTTCCTCACGAGGTGCTTCCTCACGAGGTGCTTCCTCACGAGGTGCTTCCTCACGAGGTGCTTCCTCACGAGGTGCTTCCTCACGAGGTGCTTCCTCACGAGGTGCTTCCTCACGAGGTGCTTCCTCACGAGGTGCTTCCTCACGAGGTGCTTCCTCACGAGGTGCTTCCTCACGAGGTGCTTCCTCACGAGGTGCTTCCTCACGAGGTGCTTCCTCACGAGGTGCTTCCTCACGAGGTGCTTCCTCACGAGGTGCTTCCTCACGAGGTGCTTCCTCACGAGGTGCTTCCTCACGAGGTGCTTCCTCACGAGGTGCTTCCTCACGAGGTGCTTCCTCACGAGGTGCTTCCTCACGAGGTGCTTCCTCACGAGGTGCTTCCTCCTCCCGAGGTGCTTCCTCACGAGGTGCTTCCTCACGAGGTGCTTCCTCACGAGGTGCTTCCTCACGAGGTGCTTCCTCACGAGGTGCTTCCTCACGAGGTGCTTCCTCACGAGGTGCTTCCTCACGAGGTGCTTCCTCACGAGGTGCTTCCTCACGAGGTGCTTCCTCACGAGGTGCTTCCTCACGAGGTGCTTCCTCACGAGGTGCTGGCGAAGGTGGATGCAGTGAAGTGGCAGATGGAGGCGGCGAGAGACACGCTCCAGGTGAGCAGCAGGCCCTTTCTTCCCCCCCCCCCCCCACATTTCCCTCTCCATCATCCCCCCTTTCCCTCACTCACGGTTGCCTTGCCTTTCCCCCCTTCCCCTTCCCCTCCCCTTCACCATTCTCCTTCCCCCTCTCCATTTCCCGCTTCCTCTTCTCCCACTCCTCTTTCCCTCTCCACTTCCCCTCTGCCCTTCCCTATCTTCTTTTTTTCCACCCCTCACCCCCTCCGCCACCACAGTACGCGGCGGGGCTGGCGCAGCTGAGCGCGTCAGAGCAGGTGTTCGCCAGTCTCCCCACATACCCTTCCCTCTTCCTCTCCACTCCCCCCCTCCGCTTTCCTCTCTCCACTTTCCCCCTTCCCCCTTCTACCACAGTATGCGGCGGGGCTGGCGCAGCTGAGCGCGTCAGTGGAGCAGGTGTTCGCCAGTGGGGACCTGCCACGTGTCGCCGAGACATTGGCCAACATGCGGCGCTGCCTGGAGGTGGTGGGCGATGTGAGTCCCCCCTTGCACCTGCCCCCGCTTCTGTCCCTGTGGCCTGTAACACCCCGTACCCCATGTCCCATGACCTCTGCTGCATGCCCCATGCCCCATGCCTGTGCCCCACGCCCCATGTCCAATGCGTCTGCTCGCCGTGCACATCCCTCCTCTTTCCTCCTCCCCGTCATTGTCTCTCTCACCTCTGCGCCTACCGCTTCGGCACTTCCCCTATCCCCCCACCTCTCGCCCTATCGTCCATCAGGCGCCCTTCCATCTGTTTTCCCCCTCTCGCCTCTCTTCCCCCTCCCTCCATCATCCATCAGGCGCCGGAGTTTGCAGGCAACAAGAGGCAGTTGCAATCGCTGGAGGACCGCCTGGACCAGATGGTGCAACCGCGGCTGTCAGACGCGCTCACACACAGCAAGGTGGGTCTAGATTCGTGCACTCCATGCTTGAAGCACCTGGAAGAGCACCTTAGATTCGTCCGCTCTGTGTGTGTGTGTGTTATCATGTGCGGCGCTCTTATACCTGAGTCACCGCTTTCTTCTCTCACACCCACCTTCCCACACCAGTTGGATGCGTGTCGCTCGCTGACAGGCATCCTGGCAGCCATTGGCCGGCAGCACACAGTGGAAGCTCTCTTCTGCCTCGTGCGCTGCCCTGCAGTGCGCTCTAATCGTTCAACCACCTCTCTCTCCCACCCTGCCTCTGTCCCCCCGCCCCTTCTGGTGCCAGTTGGACGCGTGTCGCTCGCTGACAGGCATCCTGGCGGCCATAGGGCGGCAGCACACAGTGGAGGCTCTTTTCTGCCTCGTGCGCTGCCGCCCGCTCACACGCCTGTGGGAGCAGTTCGAGGTCACTGCTGTGGCGCCAGGCGCAGGTGGGAGAGGGGTGGAGGAGCAGAGGGGTTGGGATGGCAGATGTGGTGTGGTTTACTTACTTTTGTGGAGTTGAGGGCTGTGCGTGTGGAGTTGAGGGCTGCGCCTCAAACATGATTCGCCTTTGGGGGCTGGTCCCCTGTCCTCAAATCAACGCTCGCCTCCTCTCCTTTGCCGCTCTTCTAACCCAACCCGGGCCCCACCCACGCCGGCCCTTTCTTTTCACTTCCCGCAGGCCCACTAGCAGCAGCGTTACAGTTCCCGGAGTGGTTACCATGCTGGTACGATGAGATGCTGTTGGCAGTGGAGCAGGAGGCGCGCTGGTGTGTGGCAGCCTTCCCCCACCACGCCTCCCCTCTGCTGCTGCGCCTGCTCACAGCCACATGGGACGGGCTCTCCTCCAGCTTCACTGCCCGCGTCGATGCTGCTGTCTCTGACGCTGCCCTTGCTGCTCTCGCTAGTGCTGCTGCAAGCGAATCAGGTAGGAAGAGGGGCCTGTCTGCTGCTACGCCTGCTCACCGCACAGCCACGTGGGGCGGGCTCGCCTCCAGCTTCACTGCCCGTGGTGATGCTGCTGTGTCTGACGCTGCCCTTGCTGCTCTTGCGAGTGCTACCGCTAATGCGGACGAAACAGGGAGGGAGGCAGGGAGGGAGGGGAAGAGGGCTTTGGCACCTGCGCTCACCCCCTCTCCTTCACTCTCCTCAACTTCCTTTTCTCTCCTTTTGCTGCTACCTGCCTTCCCTCCCCCGCCCCGCCTTGCAGCGTCTCAATCCCGGCCGTCCACTCGCCTCGCTCTCCTGCTCGCCCTGCATGCCACCACCACCACCTTCGCCCGCAACCTCTCCCGCCTCCTCGCCTCCCTTCCTACCTCCGCCACCGCCGATGCCACTAAACCATCCTCCTCTGAGAAAAACACCCAAGGAGCCGCCGCAGCAGCAGCAGCAGGAGGAGGAGGGACAGGAGGAGCGGCAGGAGGAGGGGCGGGAGGAGGGGAGAAGGGCAGCAAGAGCAGGGGCGGGGAGGAGGGGGGGGAGCAGGGGGGGGAGGGCCCAGTGAGTGTGAGCGCGGTGGTGTGGGCGGTGTTCCGGCCCTTGGAGCCGTTCAAGCAGCGCTACGGGGACTATGAGCGCGCACAGCTGGCGGCGGATCTGGCCGGCATAGATCTCCGACCGGGCGGCGCAGTGAAGCAAGTGGGGCAGCGCGGACTTGTGCTGGCGGATGCTGTGCGGCGCATGGAGGTGAGAGGTGGTGCTGTGCGGTGCATGGCGGTGTGATGGAATAATCTTTTGGAATTTTCTGGAGTTCTCAGTATAACTAGTACGTTCCAGGGAGGTGATCTGGAGCTGGCCTTTTCCTATGTTGCTGCCACGCCCCTCTTTCGTGTACCACCTATACCGCCCATCCCATGCAGCATGCTTAATCTTCCCATCACGTCTCCCTCTCCTCTCATCTCCACCTCCCTCCCACAGGCGGCCATCCCAGCAGCAATGGCAGCACTGGAAGCAGCAGTGGAGCGCTGCCTCTCCTTCACAGGTGGCTGTTGCTCACCGCTCTCAACCACTCACTCCTCCTCTCCGTCCCCCCATGCTTACTTGCCCTACTCCCCTCTCCCCAACCCCCCACCAGGCGGCCATCCCAGCAGCCATGGCAGCACTGGAAGCAGCAGTGGGGGCTTAACAGTGTTGCTCACCGCTCTCCACCACTCTCTGCTCTGCTCCTCTCCCCCCCTTCCACAGGCGGCCATCCCAGCAGCCATGGCAGCACTGGAAGCAGCAGTGGGGGCTTAACAGTGTTGCTCACCGCTCTCCACCACTCTCTGCTCTGCTCCTCTCCCCCCCTTCCACAGGCGGCCATCCCAGCAGCCATGGCAGCACTGGAAGCAGCAGTGGGGGCTTAACAGTGTTGCTCACCGCTCTCCACCACTCTCTGCTCTGCTCCTCTCCCCCCCTTCCACAGGCGGCCATCCCAGCAGCCATGGCAGCACTGGAAGCAGCAGTGGGGGCTTAACAGTGTTGCTCACCGCTCTCCACCACTCTCTGCTCTGCTCCTCTCCCCCCCTTCCACAGGCGGCCATCCCAGCAGCCATGGCAGCACTGGAAGCAGCAGTGGGGGCTTAACAGTGTTGCTCACCGCTCTCCACCACTCTCTGCTCTGCTCCTCTCCCCCCCTTCCACAGGCGGCCATCCCAGCAGCCATGGCAGCACTAGAAGCAGCCGTGGAGCGCTGCCTCGCCTTCACAGGGGGCTCAGAGGCAGCAGCGCTGCTCACCGCTCTCGACCACTCCATCCTCCTCTTCCTCTCCCGCCTCTCCTCCTGCCTCCAATCCCTCCCCCCCATCTGCGGCCTCTCCCCTCCCCCCGCTCCCACCCCTCCTTCCTCCACTCCTTCCGCTCCAACCCGAGCCTCCGGCCCAGGCTCGGACCGAACCAATCCAGTCTCAGACGATCCGTTAGCCAGTCTACCGGACCCGGCAGGGTACGGTGGGTCGGGGGCAGGCGGGGTGGAGGAGGAGGAGGAGTGGGCGGTGGTGCAGGGAGCGCTGCAGCTGCTGATGGTGGCAGAGAGTGTGGCAGTGCGCGTGGCTGTGTTTGAAGCCTCCCTCCGCACTGCCCTCACGCAGCTCTCCCCCCGCCTGGGCCTGGATGCTGGGGGGGATGGCGCAGGGGAAGGGGGAGGAGAGGGCGCGGGAGTGGAGGTGAAACGGGTGGGGTCGGTGGGTGGTGCAGGGGGAGGGGGAGGGGGAGGCGGAGGGGGAGCGGGAGGGGGAGTGGAGGGCAGTGAGGTGGATGTGGCGGTGCTGAGACTGGCAGAATATCCCGACAAGGCACAGCGGCTCGCCAGGTATGGGTTAATGGATGATGGAGGGGGAAAGTGAGATGCGGATGGGGGAAGGTGAGGGTAGGGCTAGCGGAGGGGAGTGAGGTGGATATGGCGGTGCTGAGACTGGCAGAGTATCCTGGTAAGGCACAGCGTCTTGCTAGGTGCGGCGTGATGGGGTGGTGGGACAAGTGGTGATAGCAGCGCAAGCCCTTGAACATGCTTTCAATACAGCACAAAATTGGTTGCTGATTCGTGCCCAGCTCCATCACTGTCGCTTCCCCCTTCTTGCTCTTCCCTTTTTCTTTCCTCCCCCCCTTTTCACCACACCTTAATGGCTGTGCACCTGCCCCCAGGCTGCTGGACGAGTTGAGAGACCCGCGCATTCATGCGCTCCCCCGCACAGCACAGCGCGTGAGAAGCTTCCAGGAAGCAGTGTCGTCACTGGTGTATGACGTGCTCATCGCCAAGGTGCCATCATCCCCCGTCCCCCCCTCCCCTTCACGCGCTCTGTCCTCGCCCTCATTGCTCGCCCCCTACTTTTTCCCCCACACCCGCCTCACCTCCCTTGCTCTCCTCCCTCCTCGCTGGTGTGCGACGTGCTCATCATCCCTCCGCCCCTCTCGCTCGCTCTCTCGCTCTCTCGCTCTCCCCGCTACCCTCACTGTCTTTGCACTTCTCCTCCCTCTCCCGCTTTCCTCGCCTTCCTTCCTCTTTTCCACAATCGTGTTCTTCCCCTGCTGTTGCCGCACTCCTCCCCGCTCTTCCCTCGACTCACCTCCTACTTTCTCTCTTGTCTCCATCCCCCACTCTCTCCCCAACACTGCAGGTGCGGCGGCAGCTGGCAGGGGTATCAACAATGCCGGACTGGGCATTGGGAGAGGAGGAAAACGTGTTTGACCTGCCTTCTTTCAACGCGTACGCCCTACCGTACATCACGGCCGTAGGAGAGTATCTCCTCACTCTCCCCCAGCAACTCGAGCCTCTCGCCGTCGCTGCCTCCGAAGCTGCCCCGAGCCTGCTCCTGCAAGCCTCGGCAAGCGGTGCTTCGGCAGGCGGAGAATCCGCGACGCCAACCGCAGCAGGGGAGGAGGATGCGGGGGCGTATTTCGTCCGGGAGTGGATGACAAAGGTTGCTGACGGCGCGACCTCGCTATTCGTCGAGCAGATTCGGGCAATTCCCGAGGTGTCGGATCGGGGGGCACAGCAACTAGCAGCAGACATTGAATATCTGTGCAGTGTACTGTCGGTGCTCTATGTGGCTGCATCGCCTGCTATTGCGACCTTCCAAGCGTGCTTTGCCACGCCCAAGGCGAGCCTAGTGGAGTTTATCGCTCAGGAGAGCGGTGTTGGGGGATCGCTGGATGCCACCACTGCTCGCTTGGTCGCCAAGATGAGGCGGGTTGCGCTGGAGTAATCATGGTATACAAGCGTAGCTTACAGAACCATTGTCTGAAAGTCCTGTCTTGAAATTAATGAAGTTTGAGGCAATTTGTGGTTCCTTTTAAGCATTTCCTTAGTGTGTAACACTTACCGCATGGTGTTTCCAGCGCATCTTTTCGCCCACTCCAGCACTTTCTTGAAAGTTCCAGGTGGCAGCCAGATTCTCCTTTCGTGAAAAGCACGCAGCGAGTCATCCAAAATTCTATCAAACTGAGCTAAACCCATTGCTCCTTGTGCCGTGCCGATCCGTTCAGCAAAACAACCCAAATCAACCCCGAGCACTTCTCATTGTGTTGTGGGAATCTCAAGAAATAAATAGGGAAAGTACATCGCAGCTCCACAGTTTCAAAAATATCTCAATTTTGATCCCGAGTTTACCCAAAAAGTCCAGCTTTGCGGAATTCTGCTCACGCGAGGCCCAAAGTATGTTCAAAACTGGTCCTGCGGGGCAGAAATTACGACACGTGTCGATTTCGTGCAAGGGTTTTTATACGGGGCAAACCAAACATAATACCCCTGGGGAAACGGGACACAATTTGGGTAATATATTGCACTGCCTGCGTAAGCAGGCAGTGCAATCGAGTCAGCAAGCTGGTCGCGGGCAAAAAAAAAACTAAAACCCTCTCGGATGGGATGCCATCCGAGGGAGCCTCAACCCTAAAATTTTAGGGTTGATGCTCCCGAATGGCATGCCGTAAGCCAAGGGGTTTAATTTTTGCCCGCGGGATACATTTCGGGAGGGATCAACCCTAAACACCGGGCGGGTTCCCGTGTTTAGGGTTGATCCCTCCCGAACAAGTGTCCTGGTTTCCCCAGGGGTATTATTGTTTTTGTGCCCCGTCAAAAATTGTTGGTGTGAAATAGACACGTGTCAATATTTGAGCCCTACAGGACCAGTTTTGAACATAATTTGGGCCTCGCGTGAGCCAAATCCCAGAAAGTGGGACCTTTCGAGTAAACCTGGGGGTAAATATGAGAGAAATCTGAAAGTAAGGATCTAGGATATAGTTTCCCAAATAAATATCGCGAAAACAGCACCGCATTCAGCACAGCAGCGTGTACAAATTTCCTGAGGTGCCTCGCTCACAGATCTACCCTGGAATATATGGATCCCCAGACGGGGAACGTGCATTTCGTGGCGACGTAGACAGGCGCATCGAAATAGACAGCCGCCAGCCGTTTTTCACTTTTTGCCCGACTAAAAAAGACAGGACGCAGACTGGCGAAAAGAAGGCGTTCATGTCGGAGTTAACAGACAGGAATGATTGAACTAACAGAGAAATCAGTACAAATAGCAAACCCTAGAATTGTGTACCCCATATAGGCTAACCCACTGTAGCCTAACAAACGCAACATATATAATGTTTGACACACCCCCATAGGCAAAGTGGGGGAGACCTAGGGGTCACAAGACCAGTCAAGGCAAAGCAAGGCAACAACAAGCTTAGGGTGGATCTCAAGGATACCACACAAATTCCGAGCACAAGCAAGTGGTCACAAGACCAGTTCACATGCAGGTTTATAACAGAGCATGAGATACAGTGATCACAACCTAGCAAGAGTAAACATGCAGGTATAGATATATATAGTGATCACAGTACAAGCAAAGTCAAGAGGTAAGCAAGTGAGGTCCAGTAGGCACAAGGCCTAGTAGAGTGCAGAAGCGCTGATGGTCACGAGGCTGAAGCGCCTTGGTGAACACATCAGCAGTGTTGGCCTCAGTGGCCACGTAGCGAATACAAAGCTGACCGCGCTGCTGCAGCTCTCGAGCAAGGAAGTACCGCAGGGCGATGTGCTTCGTTCTGTGCTCCAGTCTGTGCTCCTCACACAAGGCAATGGCAGCCTTGTTGTCGACGTACAGTACTGGAGGAGAACGAGGCGGCTCTCCGAGGTCAGTCAGCAGGTAGGTCAGCCAGCGTAGCTCCTGGGCAGCCATGGCTGTAGCGTAGATCTCAGCCTCGCAACTGGAGCCGAGAACAGAAGAAGAGCGTGTAGAGCGCCAAGAAACTGAGCCAGAGCCAAGGCTGAAGGTGTAACCCTGAGACGACCGCTGAGTGGCCTGGTCGTCTGCCCAAGAAGCGTCTGAGTGCCCTGTGAGCACAACTCGGTCTCGCCCTCCAAGCACAAGCCCCATGCCCGACGTACTGCACAAGTAGCGCAACACCCTCTTAGCGGCATCCATGTGCTCCTTCCTGTGACGGCCAGGAGCGACATAGCGTGCAAGGATGCTAAGAGGGTATGCAAGGTCAGGTCGAGTGCAGGTCATCAGGTACATGAGGCAGCCCACAAGCTCTGGATACGGGCCACTCGGCTCTACGGACTCATCCGAAGGCAGAGCTGAGAGCGAGTGACCGGTAGGCAGAGGAGTGGACTGAGGCGAGGAGTACGTGAAGCCAAAGCGCTGGAGAACCTGCTGCACCATGTGTGACTGAGTCAAGGTGATGGTGCGCCGTGCTCTGTCCCGGGTGATCCGCAAGCCAAGATAGCTTGTCAGCTCACCCAGGTCTGTGCACGTGTGTCTCCTCTGCAGCTCCGACTTCACGTAGGCGAGTCCTGCAGTGTCAGCAGTGGCAAAGACCAAGTCGTCGACGTACACGAGGATGTAGAACGGCGGCAGCGAAGTGTCGGTGCGCAGGAACAGCGACGGGTCAGCTGTAGAAGGCGCGAACCCAAGAGCCGCAAGTGTAGTCCTCAGTGTGTCGTGCCACTCACGCGGAGCCTGGCGGAGACCGTAGACCGGCCGCTGAAGCCTCCACTGGGTACCAGGAGGAAACGACCCAGTGAAGCCAGGTGGGCGGCGCAGCCAGATCTCCTCGTGCAGGCTGCCCTGCAAGAAAGCAGTGCTGAAGTCAAGTGAGTGAAGCTCGTAGTCGCGGTGAGCGGCTATGTGCAGCAGCACCCGAAGAGTAGTCATCTTCGGGGTGGGGGAGAAGGTATGGAAGAAGTCAACTCCCTCTCGCTGACTGAAGCCTCGAGCCACGTAACGCGCCTTGAAGACAGGCGGAGAACCCGGCGGCCGCTTCACCCTGAAAATCCACATGCCACTGACGATGTTCGCCCCAGGAGGGGGAACCTCGTCGACGTAGGTGCGTGTGGACTTCCAGGAAGCCATCTCGGCGTCCATGGCTGTCTGCCACTGAGAGGAGTAGGGACCCGCCATCGCCTCAGCGTAAGTGCGCGGGGTCGGGATGTCTGGTGCATCCGGGTCTCCCTCAGGGGCAACTAGCAAGGACACGAGACGGGGCAAAGCAGCAGCAAGACACTGGAACTCCTCCTGTCTGTCCTCAAGGACGTCCGTGCCAAGAGCACACTCACCCCCGACGGACGGAGGACAGACAGACTCAGACTCAGACTCAGCAACAAGGCTAGCAGCGTAGTCTAGACGATAGGCAGCAGCAAAGTCAACCAACTCAGCGACCAGAGCAGACGCAGCCGAGGACTCAAAGGTAGGGTCAGTGACAACAGTAGCAAGGAGACGCGTGACAGTAGGGTGCTCAGCACGATACCGGTCAGACTCAGGGTCCGGAACGTCAGGCAAAGAGGAAGCAGGAGGAGACGGTAGAGGGACACGCTGAGGAGCAGTAGAGGGACGCAGAGTCATGTAGTGAGTGCCTGGGACAGGAGGAGGACGCTCACGACGGACACGACTACCAGTGCGAGCAGGACGAACAGGCGACGAGACTCAGACTCACGACGCTCTGTAAGACCTCCTGTGGGACCAGTGTAAGGAGAGGGAGCAGGGAGAGGCGAGGTAGGCGGTAACTGTGACTGCGACTGGACAGGCAGAGGACACTCTACGGAGGGAGGAGGAGCCTGCCCAAGAACCTGCTGAAGGAGCGGTACGAAGTACGGTCGCGGCCGCGCAGCGTCTCCAGAAGCAGAGGAGACTCCAGCGGCCGGGTCAACAGCACCAGCAGCAGCTCCACCAGCCGGGTCCTCAGCACCAGTAGTAGCTCCAACGCCCGGGTCCTCAGCAGCAGCAGCAGCGCCACCGCTCGGGTCCTCAGGTCCAGCAGCAGCTCCACCGTCCGAGTCCTCAGTACCAGCAGCAGCGCCACCGCCCGGGTCCTCAGCTCCAGCAGCAGCTCCAACGTCCGAGTCCTCAGCACCAGCAGCAGCTCCACCAGGCGGGTCCGCAGCACCAGCAGCAGCTCCAACGTCCGGGTCCTCAGCACCAGCTGCAGCGCCACCCCCAGGGTCCGCAGCACCAGGAGCACCACTCCGAAGACTGCAGCGCCGTGTGTACCACTCGCGGATCTGCTGAATGGGGGGGAGCTCCTGGGTAGGAGGGGAAGTACCGGGACGAGCTCCAGCAGCACCTCTCCGGAGGCGGCAGTACTCGAGGTACCTCTCCTGCAGCTGCTGGGAGGAGAGGGCTCCTCCAGGTGTAGCACGCTCAGGCTCACCCCCAGACGCAGCACCCCCAGGCTCAGCACCTCCAGGCTCCGCACCTCCAGGCTCCGCACCTCCTTGCTCAGCACCCCCAGGCTCCGCACCCCCAGACTCAGCACTCCCAGGCTCAGCACCCCCAGACGCAGCACCCCCAGGCTCAGCACCCCCAGACGCAGCACCCCCAGGCTCAGCACCCCGAGCAGGACGAGAGTCAACAGCTACCTCGACCGGCTCACCCGGGTCTACCTGGGACACACCTGAGGGAGCGGCACCCTGAGGGGGGAGGGGTTCTGGTACCTCAGCACCTGGAGCGAGGAAGAGAGGCGGGGGGGGGGAGCGGGGCAGTGCGGTAGGGGAAGAGGCGGTAGTAGGGGACGGACTCGTCAAAAGTGACGTCCTGAGAGGCCAGGACACGCCGCGAGGTGGGGTGGTAGAACTGCCAACCAGGCGCGTCCGGGACAAAGCCAAGGAAGACGCAGGGGACAGCGCGACGGGAGAGCTTGTCCGCGGACGTGTCGCGGACAAAAGCTCGGGATCCCCAGACCCGAAAACGCGACGCATCGCCAGCCTCTCCCGTCCAAC